GGGTTACGGGGGCAATCGTACCCCGATTGTCTACTTAGCTTGGGTATGTATTCAGTGCACTACCGAAGGCTTCGAGGATACCTAATCTTCACTTACCGCATTTTAACAGGGAAGGTTGGACCGGACTTGAGCTGGCTATTTAGCCCGGCTAGGTTGCCTTGTCTTCGCGGTCATCCCATGAAGCTACACAAGCCGCGTTCCGACCGGATCAGGGCGGAAACTCGGTTATCGAGCGCTGGAACTCGCTTCCAGAAAGTGTAGTCAGTGAACCTACGGTTAAGGGTTTCGAGCGTCAGTTATACGCTCTTGGGTGGCAACACGTAACCTTTCCCTTCTCCTGACCATATCCATCTTCAAACTTTTAGTTCATATTCTGTCATTCTCTTCACTCTTTGGTGTTATCCTCCATTTAAATGACTTTCATTCCCCTTTATCTTCCATTTACTTTCTACTTCTTTTTTCACGTAACCTACATAGCGGGGACTGTTAGTGCAGGGATCCTGGGCAGTAATTGGGTGTTTCGTTTTAGATCTCTCAAGTCCTAGCACCTTATCATTTCCTGGCTCAACGATCCGATCAAGAAGGAACACTCAATGGATTTTCCTATCGTTCCAGTCCATCTGAATCTGCATCTTAACGACTTTCGGTTTCCTCCTTGTCGGTCAATTGCAGTTTTTGTGCGTGATGTCTTTTTGAGGTTTTACTTTCAAAGGTCAGTCTCGGATCAGTGTTTACAAGAGAGTCCTGCAAAAAAGTTGACTTTCGCCAAATTTCACTTGATTCAGAATATCTTGAATCGCCGTATTCCCCGGAATTGGCGTTGCTGGAAATTTTCTCATGGATCTCCGATTTCCTGTACATTCGCTCTGCGCAGGTAAGGGTGAATGATACGCTTTCTGATCCATTTCATATGACCACTGGTGTCCCACAGGGTTCTGTCCTTGGCCCTGTCCTTTTCAACATCTTTATTAACGACCTCCCGTCCGAGCTGCAGACGAAATGTTTGATTTATGCCGATGACTTGAAACTTTGAATTGAGGTATCCAGTCTTGAAGATGCAGACAGTCTCCAAGAAACACTTAACAGGCTCCACGACTGGTCGGTAAAATGGCAGTTACCTATCAACCGGGATAACTATTCCGTACTCCCGATTGGTGCTCGTGAACCATTCGGGTTTCCTGCTCATAAATGTTGCTCAGGAAAGGGACCTCGGAGTAATTGTGTCTCCTTACCTCGAAACAACTGAGAACACCCGGAAAAGGGTCGCCGCTACTTACAGGATGTTTCATGCCTTACGAAAAGCATTCTCCCCTCTTACTCCAGAACTCTTCAGACTCCTGTTTGCTTCACATGTGCTCCCGATTCTCGAGTACGGCTTGCCAGCTGCCCAACCTCTCACAAAGACTGAATGCGATATGATTGAGAAGGTCCAACCCCCTGGATCTAAATGTATGCCAGAGCTGCGGTGCCTATCTTATCCTCTCCGTCTCCAGCGATTAAACCTTTTCTCTCTGGATTACCGTCGTCGCGGCGATTTGATCTACAGTCAACGTATCCTAAGAGGAGAGCTAGGAAGCGAGTTACAGCAGTTCTTTCATTTGAACATTGAAAGTTCGACACGTGGTTACGGATAGAAATTGTTCAAATTGAGGAGACTGCATGTACGGTCAGATCTAGCTCTATCCACGCGCGTGGTTAATGACTGGAATCGTCTTCCGGAGCTCGTCGTTGATGCGCAGTTTCAAGTTTCATGCAAATGTTGGATTCCCACTTGATAACTGTGCCCGGATATTGCTTCACAACATAGCTTTAAGTTTCATTGTGGAACCCTATTTTCACTATGGTCCAAGCAATGTCCGCAATGACTGGAAAGCGACGGAGCTTATAAAGGACTCCTTCTACTCTCTACCATACAATTTATAATGATACGTTCTACCCGTTCCCGGATACTTAAGCATCCGGTAATTACCAAATCTTGTCCATCTTTTTCGGGTTCAGCTTCTGGCTACTTATCTGGTACTTTTGTGTTTTCTAATCTGTTTTGCACCTTGTTCTAATTCCTAGCTTTTTCTGTTGACTGCCCTGCGGATACCCTGCTAAGAGAACGCCCACCCAGCTGAGCTTCTAAAGAGCTCAGACGCCCTACTTGTGCGTTCATATCCCCTGCACGTACTATAATATCTGAACTAGTAGCACTGCGTAGCAGCGTGTTCAGTTCGTGATAGAAAGTGTCCTTGACCTGCATTAGAACTGCAGTCAGGTGGGAGCATAAGCAGAAATCACAAACAAACAGCGTTTTGTTTTACTTCGCGAATTCACCTTAGCTGATGTCGTCAAACGGGCTGCACATAAACGGCTGTTCACCGGAACCCAATCAACCAACGATGACTCAGCCTTCGAGCTGAGAATGATACCTACACCAGCTTGACCCGTGAGTGCCGCATCGACGTCTCCGGATGCGTGCAACCAATAACGAGAGGATAAGCTGGGTGCAGTCAATTCAATAACCCCGTTAGGGTTATTAATCCTAATTTCGGACACACAACACACATCAACACCCAGTGTGTCCAAGGTGCGTGCGAGTGCAGCCTGCTGACCTGTTTGTCTTAGAGTGCGGATGTTGAATGTCGCCATGGAAACGGGACAGCGTGGCCTTATAAAGGACTTTTGCCGATAGGCGTCCGATAGGTGTGGTGGAATGGTGGCTGCAGATGGTACTACTCCAGTAGCACTTCGGTTGCTGTCAATTAAGCTGGGAATTATAGAAGGAAGGTTAGTAATGGGGGCCGGGATGGGAGTAAGAGAAAAAGGTGGCAAAGAAAGGAGGCGCCAGCAGTAGCGTGTTTTCGCTTATCCGCCCTGCTGTATGCAGCAGATAAGGCGATCCTTGTTAATCTGCTTGACGGCGGATGCAGGATGAAGTTTTTGTTTGAAGAAAAAGTCATGGTTGTATGTGGGCTGGAATACTGTTAGGAAGCCCAGACCAAAACAGGAGGACGATTAGGGTCCACATCCAAAGCCTTTGGCTCAAAAGCCTGTCCGCAAGGCAGCGGGGTGGCAGTGATTTAGTTTTACAGAAATGGACGCCATCCCATTTCAAACACACAACCTGGAGGATCAGGAGACTGAGTTTGTCTGACCTCTCACCATTGACCAACCTGGTAGTAGTAGCTCTCGAGATGCTCGGAGGCATCACCCAGTATAGCTCAATGGGTCAATGAGGTACGCAAACCGTCGCACCACGTTAAGGTCCAGCCTCGTTGCGACAAGTCGTCAGACATAAAGAGGCTAGTCACGTTCGATCATCACTGCCTTCGCAGCTCATGTCTGGGGAAACCGCGCGGGCCATACGTTTGTTTGACGTCGCTTATTTGGCGTGGAAAGAGCGAGTGAATCGCCCAGCACCATTATATCACGCACCAGGCTCCGATGACTTAACCACGTGTTGCGCATGTCATCGCATCAACTCCCGCAACATGCGTTCTTTACGCGCCGGGGGTTTGGATGGAGGAGAGTGGAGTAGACCAAGCGATGACAATCGGTTGGTGTATCCCCACTGCAGGGCTGGAGTCCGTAGGCTAATGAGCACGTTTGGTTGCATATACTTGCTGACATGGCGAAAAACCGATCTCAATGGCGTGTGTTGTGAGTTTCTTTGTCACTCCCTCTCCCGCTTAGCTTCCCCCTTACAGTCACGGTCCCAATCTTGAAGAGTTATATGTTACCAAGCAGTATATTGCCCGTTGCTCTTCATGTTCTGTAATGTCTTGCATCTCTTTTTCATATATCCTCTTTTTACATTGCAGCACATCATTTCAAGTATCTTTCTCACCTTCAGCCACTATGTACTTATAATCATGTTCCAACATTCCTCCATCTTTTTCTTCTTACTGGGGTATTTCTTTCATAGTTAACCCGCGAATGTCCACTCTTGGACTCGCAAGCTATGCCAACGTGACACCTCAACCGTCCGTCAAACCAAGAGCCTCATTTCACATCGATTTTTGATCATCATCTATCGGCTTACCGCTCAGTCACCCTTGCTTATCGAATAGCTGGAATCATATGATGTTGCTAGTGTCTCGTCGAAACGTAATAAATCAGGTTGTCACACGCCATTAGGTGTCCGTACAATTCAGTTCAGCTCAGTTGAACAACAATGACCTCGGTACCGAAGTGCGGTTGATCCAGTTGCCACGACTCACGTCGCCAATCAGGTTGAATGCAAATGGCTTTTAAGGAAAATTGGATCAAGGACTGCATTAAACTAAAAAAGGTGGATTGAAAATTGGCAGTTAGATGCAAGAAACCGAATGCAGGAACGCCACTGACTGCGCGACTGCACCATATTCGATGGGGTCTCCAACCAGTTGCGTGAGCTATCCCGGGGTCTCCATCCACGAAGAAGATGGAAAATGTCGACAGGTGACCGAGTGGTTTGCCCGCCTGGTTTGCAACCATAAAGTCACCGATTCGAATCCGCGTAGAGGTAGTTGTCCTCGCGGTATACTCAGCCCACGCGCGACTGGTGATGGTCGCGTGGCAGTGAAGTGCCGTTACGGCGTACAACTGTCGATTTTTATATCCACGAAGAAGACATGAACTAGCGTACCCAAGTCTCGGTCAGTTTCTTCATGCCTTTAAGTCACTTCATCGACTGGACGTCGCGGTCTCGCCAATTTGGTGCGGCCACGGTGTGTTATGCATGCCGAGGAAAGCGGTCAAGGAGCATACGGAGGACATGACCTAACCAACGTAAGCGGTTGAGATTCAGCAAACACTCGAGTGAGGTACCATAGGGTTTCTTGCCAAAAACAAGCCAGCGGACCTCAGCATTGCTCACTCGGTGTTCCTACCAGATGTGCCCAATATTCCACAAGCATCGGTGGTCAAACACGAATAATCGTATCATGTCCTCACTGCAAAGTGGCTAGGTCTCTGATCCGTACAGTAGCATCGAGCTTATAGCAGTGTTATGCACCCAGTCTTTCTCTGACAGGCTGATCTCCCACCATCTCCGTAGATGGTTGTCTCTGGAAAGCCACACGGGCTTTGCTGATACTTGAAGCAACCACTTCAGCGATGTGACCACCAGTGGTGACAGCTCCCAAGGTCGGTGAACCGATCAATTTCTTCCAATGGATGTTCGGTGATACATAGAACCGGCGGCTTATCAGTCCGGTCCTGTGACAGTACTTTGAAGGGAAAAAGCATGCCGAATAGAGCAGATCTACCCGTCAGTCTGTTCATTAGTGCTTACCTAGCCAATGCGCCAGACCCAAGGAGAGCTATGTCATCCGCATACTCAATTTTCGTCACTCAGTCACTTGGCAGGATTTCCACCGGAATAGTTTAAGTCACTCATGATCCTTTCGGTCACAATGTGGAACGGATATATACCATTTTCACTTTAAGCTGGACATTTTTCAAACCAAACTGGACATTTTGCAAACCAAAATGGACATTTTGAAAACCAAACTGGACATTTTGAAAACCAAACTGGACATTTTGAAAACCACATTGGACATTTTGCAAACCAAACTGAACATTTTGCAAACCACATTGGACATTTTGCAAACCACATTGGACATTTTGCAAACCAAACTGGACATTTTGCAAAACAAATTGGACACGTTGCAATCCAAGTAGCAACTGGCCAATTTGTTGGTAAGAAACGAGCAGTAAGACTGCTGAATGATGTTCAGAACATACATTGTGATGACGCTAATACACCGGCATTGTGTAAGCAGCGGGCTACACTGTAAAACATTTGCTTGATCCTGAGCAGCGACCGAAGTTCTGAACTACGCTCCCCTCTCCCCATTGACATTAGCCTAGTTGGTGTGCAGTGCCCATACGCATCAACCTGTGTTG